TTGATACATTCATAACAGCAAAGACACACACACACATCTGTACATATTTACACAGGCATTTATATAGATATGTGCATTAATTTAAATGAAGAAAAAGTAGAAATTATGCGCTTGATAGATGCCAGCCAATTATCAAGGGGTCCACAACGAACCAAGAGAATGCGGCCATCAATTTACTTTCCCATTTCAAGGATCTGCAAAATGAAGACATTAATCACAAAGGCAGTCCAATTGGAGTTTCAAGAAAACTAGCAAGTTATGTCTAAACTAAGGCCTATTATTTGTAAAATATAACTTTAATTATGTTCTTAAAATGATATTTTAGAGAAATTCTTTGAACTTTTTTTGACATATTTTTACAGATATAATTTTTCATGAATAACTTTATAGCCCCCGGACCATCTATTTACAGACCAATAATTTGTTTTGCTTCATAGTATATTGTATATTTATTTTTAATATATTGTACGATATCTTATGTGTTGCACAAACTTATACAAATATGCAAAACGTCCATAAACGACTATAAGTTAATGTTAATTATGACGATATTTTATTATTGTCGATATTAACCACTCTTGATTCTTTCTCTTAGTATTGTCATATCTTATTTTATTGGTTATTAGATATGTTATAAACAATAGAGAAGACTATGGGAAGTTATTTCGTCCTTCTCCGATGTCTCTCTATTTCTTTATTTCTCTTTATAACTGAACTTATTTGCTATTACAAGATATTTTGAAAATAAGTGAAGAATATAAAAAGGCAGTTCATATTCTCTTTTCTCTCTCTTATATACAAGAAAATATATTTTTTCGTATTTATTTATTTTTTTTTTTTTTTTTTTTTTTTGCGTATTTGTATACCATACGAGAAGATAATATTCCAAATTACTGATGAGTTACTTAAGTTCATTTGGTTCCTTTCTTTCATCTATTACTTTCCTTAAATCTTATCTACAGACTCCATAGCAGCTTTTAGCAAAATTTATAGTATATCTTTCTTTCATTTCTTTTTACTTATTTCTCATTCGTTCTTCCTTCTATCAGCATTCCAATATAATCTTTTATATGATATTTAAGCAAATCATTGCAAACAAATTCCAGTTATACTAATTATCTTCATTCCGTTTCTTATAACTCATGATCTATAATATTAAAATATATCATGAGCAGTCTACAAGCATTCGTATTTTTATCATCTAGGTATCTGCTCACATATTCTTAAGACTTAGTAAGACCAACCCCATTAAATAAACATAAATTAAAAAAAAAAAAAGATCTTAAATGGTGTCTTAAGATTAAGCGGTAAGGGTAGCAGTTCATTTGAACTTTGGATCAACTCGAGTATTATTTACTTGTCAGTTCCCTCTCCATGCACAGCTGGCAAGCTTTCCATGGAATTCTCAGCAGCGACAGTTCCCTTGGCACAAAGAATGTGCGCTCTCTGCTGGAGCTAGAGCTGGAGCTGGCAGCCGGGCAGTCGGGCAGCGCCTCGGGCTGAGTATCCATATCCATTAACATTAACATTGTAACGCTTTGTGCTTTCGTTTCGTCCGTGATGCGTCGCTGCCCCTGCCCCAGCCCCTTTTGTAGTTGCGCTTGGACACAATCTAGGCGCTAGCTCACACTCACATGCACAGACACACGCACACAAAGAGAAACAGAGAGGAAGAGGAGAAGAGCAGGAGAACTCAGTTCGTTGAACTTCTCGGCTGTTGATTTGCGCCTAGTTTCTGGACGCAATTGCCGCTCTGTCCAAATCGGGGGTTAGATTCTTATTTTCCTGTTGCTGAGGATGATAAATAATGAGAAGATCTTCATTTCTTCTCTCTCTCTCTCTCTCTCTCTCTCTCTCTCTTGCTCTCTCTTTTTGTATACAATGAAAAATCTGTTAATCACATTATTTCACACTCCCTCCAGCCGCTGTCCCTGTCTGGGTCTCAGTCTCTGCTCCATTCTCCATCTTTTGTGCTGCTCAGTTGTTGCAATCTCTTCTAGAGCTCATCTGTTTGCACTTATTGCAAGCATTCGTTTGACCCAAATCAGCTCAAAAATGTGTTCCCAATAAGAGTTTCACAATCTGAATCGCATCTAGGCGGCTGTGTAGCAAAAATATTCGACATGATCTTAAAAGAAATTAAATTTTGAATATATAAGCTAAACTTAAAATAAAACAATCTATTGATATTTACGTTCCTGAAATTTCTGTTATGATAATCATTTTGTATGTAATACAAATACATGGTTAAAGTTAATATCTTTGGTTAAGTAGTTAATATCTTTAGACCTTGATTTTTTGTTTTTGTTGTATTATAATGTAAAAGCTAAGGACACCAAAAGTAATCGAATACACTGAAACATTATTCTTGTTCTTAGTCTTCCTCAATGTCTAAAAATCCTCTTATATATATTATATGCAGATTGGTCTAGCTCAAAGCTCAAGATTTGAAACGGCTCCAGATGAGTGGCATAAATTATAAAATCTCCAGGTAAGCATACTCCTTGAAATGCTTTAATCTATATTTGCATTATGATCTTGAAATTTAATTGCTAGTCATATCCATTTTGTATCTGCCTGTATATTTATATCAATCTGTAGATACAGACTAAATAAATTGTACATGTCTTTCATACTCTCTCATACATATATGTTATTATCAATTTAAATAGTTATAAGCTCCAAAGAAATTTAAGATTATTTTCAATATTATCAGCGGCAGTACCTAAGACATTTGAAAGTAAAGAAACTAACCAATTTCTCAGGATCCGAAGGGAAATTCATGAAAAGGTTTGCATAATTTTCCACAACAAGAATTTTGTCATAACTTTTCTTATAGATGTTATCATAGGGACCTTTCGTTCGCTGAGTAAATTACGTAGTATAAAACCAGTGAAGCAAGCAAATTTTCACATTTGCTTCGAGGAAAATGCACGTTAAGACAATTTTCTTAGAGGGCGTGGACGATCTGAGCTATGTGTATATACATACATACATATAGGGCAGATAGATGAGCTCATTTATAAATTTCAATAATGCGAGGAGGCGCATGTGGCATGAGGCATGGGCATGCGGCAACCCTCAGTGGCAAAGTCAGCGGCGCATGCACCGTTTTAATTGTTGCTGTCCAGGGGCAAGAAATGTATTCTCTCTTTTTTGTCGGGGTGTGTTCTACAAATGTTATTGTTGTTGTTGTTGTTGTGAGCTTCACAAGGACATGGTCATGAATCCCACATAATATTTGCATCTCATTTCCGGACACTTGGGCTCAGCCGAGCTGCGAGGGTCCGGCCCACGAACCAAACTGTGCGGGCATTCAACATACCCTAGACGTGAAAGCGAAACGGAAATGCCCACACACAAGCGCGAGGGGTGAATAATTACATTGATTCCTTCTTGCCCCTAGCAAGCGGCATTAGTTCACTATTTTTACAAATTTGTTTCTATACATGGACAACAGTTGCTGAAAAGCCCCTAAATAAATTTCTGATCTCGCTAAACTTAAAGCTGACAAAAATCAAATGCATTTGTGATACTCTAACAAAAGGGTATTTACTTTTTATTAACAAGTGTGCTACAACAAGGCAAAGGGACATAAGGGTATTACTTGCTATATATACACGTCTCAGCATTGATCGAAAGCTTGATCTAATATAGTATGATTAGCTTAGCTCTCTGATCTCAGCTGCCTCACATAAAAATTATATGTATATTTTGTTGATACTATTCTAATATACCAATGTGTAAGTATACTATAAGTTTTCTAAGATATAAGCTATCTTTTATTTGTTATCCATTAATTTATTCCCAACTGTCATATGTTCTCATAATTTTAGCTATTTTTATATGTTGTTGATACCCTCTGCTATGATAACAAATTCATTTCTATAATATTTCCAATATACATAACTTTTATCCTTCATCTATTAATTTACTCTAGAATATCATAATTGTATATTCTCATAGCAATCGCCATTTATAAGTTATCTTTCATTAGAAATATAATTCAATAATTTATTTGAAATATATTGAAGCTTATACATGAGCAGATCTCTAAACATGTAATATATAATGGAATTTAAAACAGATTCCGCATTTTTCTGCAAGTGTATTTGCACTTCGTTCAATTGAAGAGAAACAGAAACTAAGTTCACATTGAATTTAAATGCGTTCGTTACGCTTACGAGTTTCATACATAATATGGACTGGGATTTTGGATGTGGTGCGCTATGCGTGAACCTGTTACAGTTACATTTACAGGGAGCGCTAGTGGGTGGGGACCAGTTGATGTAGGTGGTCTGGCTGACAATTTCCCATGACTGCGACACTAGCGGGTCACTATATTGTGCAGCTAAATCATTTGCCTGTTTGGCATTTCGAACCTGTTGCGTAATGTTTTACCTGATTTTATTGGGGTAGCGCACTATTTTAATAGCCCTCTGCACTTGCTACATGCTAATGAGAATGGGCAAGGGTTTAGGTTGAAATACGCGTTCCCATAGCAAGTTGAAGTTTGCATTCAAAATCAACAAGAAATACATAACACAGAGTGCATAAATCAAATCGAACAAAACCAAGTTGATTTAGCCTGAAAGGCATGCATAATAGCAATTTAGGGTGGTGCCATTGATAAATAATTGAAGGAATAATCAGACTAAGTTTTAGCTGGAAAGAGTTTTGTAGTATTGCCAAGGAATTAACTAACTTTTTGGTGGTGTTATTTATTGTAAAAAATACTACTAGTATAGTCCTATGAGGGCTACTCTAGCATGGAGTTAGCTGTCTTCAGTTTGTATTATCTGTCATCCGATATATTAAGATCTTGTTTTGCGCAAATTAGTTGGATTGAATAGAATTTTAAGTTGAAAAACATTCGAGCTACAGATGTGTGCTGAGGCACGCAGGCAAACTGAAACCCGATTTGAATGCAATTAAAAGCCAAGACAAAAATATATATCTATATATATGTATGTATATGAATATATTCAGATCTAGGCTCACATAAATCACATCTTTCTCACTCTCGTTTGATTTGGAATAAATGATAGATTGCATTTAACTGGAGTTTTTAAACGTTTCAACGATTGCCAGGCTACACAGAAAACCAAATGTAATTTCATGGATGGTGCAAAAGAAACCCATTAATCATAGAGTACCCTATGGGGCCCACACACTCACCTTAAGGTAGACGAGCTGATAAAGTCCCTGGTAAAAGTCAATGAACCATGCGTACAACAAAATAATAAAAAATCTCTGGACTTTTTCGGCAACAGCTCGTCAATAGATCAGATGCCCACTCGCATTATTAATCCTCAGCGCAGACCAACATATAAAAGAGAGAAAGAGGGGAGAGAGTTTGAAGAAACTATCACACACACAGGCACACTCCGGCACATACAGGTTGGAATGTGGATGTGGGTAGCGGAGCTAGCTAGCTTCCCATTCCCCACACCCAATTCTCCATTCCCAATTTCAATTCCCATTCCCATTGTAGGGTTAAAACCCACAAGCGTCTCTTTTTTCTCTGCTTCTGCTTCTTTTTCATCTACTTCGACTTCGACTTCTCTTCTTTTTTTTTTTTTGGAAATCATCAAACAATAGAAAGCTAGACGAAGCAGCAGGCGAAGAAGGCAGTCAGGAAGAACCGCGAAAGAAGCGACAACAACAAAAGAGGGACCGGCCGTCCGTTTACGGTCATTGAACTGGGTCGACTGAGGAGAGAGCAGAGTGCCAGAGAGGAGCCAGATCTCCGCTTTCAAGACATTGTAACAGTAAAATATAAAAGAAAACGCCTCGCACAATGCGTTGCAACCTGTACCTGTTCGTGGCTCAGGGCCCGGCCCCAAATCAATGTCGAGCTTAGGACTCCGCCTGCAAAACGCTTTCAAATCTTTTCAAATTTGTCGCCTGGCATAAAGTCGACCGCCATAAGTGAAGACACGCCCACAACAAACTAACTGACATTGGTACAAAATATCGCAAATGTCCAAGATGCATGAAAATATCAAAAAATATAATCACTTGCAATATAGAGTGAAGCGTAAATTATAAGATGAATCTCTGTAAAATGACGGATTATTTCTGTTAAACTTATTAATATCAAAATATTTTATATATTTTTACATTCAATTATAAATGAGCCTGTATAATGGAATTTAAATGTATTAATCCCGTCATAACAAAATGTTGCTTTAAAATATGTTTCAAAGCAAACGATAAATACAAATATTTCATAACACGTTAATAATTAATTTTACTTTCTTTGCATTTTATTTTATTTCAGTAAAAATAAATATTATGAGACTTTTTTTTCAGTTTTATTTTGTGTATAATTTTGTTTAGTTTTTTACTTTACTTTTTTTATTTAAAAATTGAATTTAAGTTTTAGCATAATGCCTTAAGAATTATTATTTTAATTAAAATATGAATATGAAAAAATATTGTTTATACATGTTTGTACAGTATATAATACAATTTCCTTAAAGCTTTTTATACTGCGAGAAATGCTTATATGTATCTTAATGGAGCTTTTCAAAATAAACTAACTTCAATCCAAACCAAGTGCAAATAACCAATTATAGCTTTCAAGCATTTACCTGAGCCGTTTGCTGTACTGTGCTTAGTCCGTTTGGCGTTGGGCCACCTGATTTATCGACGCCAGCCCAAAAGTGGAAAGTAACTTCTGCCTCAGCTGCTGCTGCTGCTTCTTCTTCTGCTTTGGGTTTTCTTCTTTAGTATGGGGCCGCCAATTTACATGCGCTCGCGCCCGACGTCCACGTCTTTCATTCATACTGTATTTGTAACTGTATTTGTGTCGCAGACACATATGTATGACTGGGTATGTTAGTATATGTGTGCGTGTATTTTATGTTAAAAGCGTCGCCCATTTCTTTATTATTTTGTATTTTTATGATTCGACGACGTTCGAGCTAAAAAGAAAGAAACCCTTTCTCTCCCTTTTGCCATTGCCGCTTTCGTCGCCGTCACCGTCGCCGATGCATTCCTCTTCATTTTTTTGGGATTGCGTAAAAATGTACCGTTAGCTGGAGCTCGATATGTAAATTAACGCGTGGGACATGTGGCCCAATGCCCATTGCAACTGGCCACCAGCAGCCAGAAAAACAAGGCCTTCGAGAACCTGCCACGAGCAGGCCAGCCGCAGACAGTTAGCCAGTGGAGCACTCACTGCAGCATACCCTGTACACAATTTGCCAAGAGGGTATATTGGTTTGGTATAAACTATTGCCCAACAATAAACGAAAACTTTTACTGAGTGGGAAAGGAAGCGATATGAATTTAGTTTTAGTCTGGTAGTTGCCACGCCCACTAAAGTAAACCATAAACAGTGTAGCGTGCAGTCGTTTACTCTCAAATGCAACATTCTTGCTAGTTTTTTGTTTGGCCCAGTTGAAGCTCAGAGCTTTGGCATAGCATCCGCTACAGCTCACGGCAGTGGCGGCTTATGCTGTTGCTGCTCCTCTTCCTCATTTGGTTTGTAGGTGCGCATCCGCCTTCAATGCTAGCTAGCAGCATCTCTGACTTAGACTTTGACGACTTGTTTTCGAGCTGCTCTTTGTTGTTGTTGTTTGTTGATCGTTTTGTTTTTCCTTTGTTGCGTCTGTGTTCCCACTCATTTGCTTAATTTCAATTTCGTTTCGTTGCCATTTATGGCACAATGACCATGAACGGCTTTTTCAGCTGTTGAATTCGTGTTGCGGAGGATGTAACTGTTCATTAGAAACACGATAGACACGATGTGCTGCGCCCGCAGATAAGAAGCTTTAGATGTCTGATGATATCAACAGCAGCTGGAGAGCTTTTAAACTACTAGTAGAGAGCCCTCAGATTTCTATTCACGACTGAGCTTTTGCCTGTCAATGTGGCGTACGTCACCTGTGGGCACCGTGAAGCTTTCAACAACTGTCTCAACCTGAATGAAATGAAGCCACAAACTTTGTCTCTTGACACATTTCATTTCATTATCCAATTAACATAATTAGTTATCATCAATCAATTAATAATTCGAAGCAGAGTCGCAGCAGCAAGCGCATAAATCAGAAAGAAAAAAAAAAAAAAGAAAAAATAAAAGAGAAACAAAAACGAAATACACTTGTTGCGCCCATTATTGAAAACGAAGCTGAAATAAATGTGACTTGGCATTCTACAACACCCCAAAAACCAGCAGCAACAACAACAGCAGCAACAGCAACGGCAGCGAACATGAAGAGCAACTGCCAAAACAATAACAAGCCACAGAGGCGGCGCTCTCTGCTCTCCAATTCTACATAAACTCAAACAACGCAGGGCTAAACTGCGCTGAGCTAAGCTTTGAGCTGTGGAGACTTGCTCTCAAGGCTTGGCAGCGACTGCGCAGCAGCAGCGCAGCTGAAACTTTGTAGTGGTGTGGCCCGCATAAAGCAAAGAGCGTGGCGTCGCCGTGAGGCTTGGCTGGCTGTTGGCTGTTGGCGTACGTAGAGCTGCATTATAAATCTCTAACGAGTCGCTCGCGCGCGCTCAGTTGACGCTCAAGAGCTGCGAGTGAGCGTGTATGCTGTGCTGCCCCGACTGCGCGCACAGTTGTATGAGTGTGCATGCGGTTGTGTGTGAGTGTGTGTGCGAGGTTGTGAGGAAAAGGGTTCTTGAACTTAAAAGGGGTCAAAACATAAAATGAAACTCGAAATGCCTTTGCAGATAGACAAACTTAGTTGCGTGTAAGTATGTGTGTGTGTGTATGCGAGTGGTTGGCTATGTTTGTATGCGTGGCTACGTGCCGGTGGTTTGGTGCTGATGGTGTCCGTTGTTTATGCTGCCGCTGCCACTGCCGCTGCCGCTGTCGCTGCTAGCTAGCTCTGCCACTTCCTCCATTTGCCTTTTGTCTATTCCATTTTCTATTTGATTTCTACCTGTTGTATTTGTTGTTGTTAGTTTTTTTATGTGAACTGAGTGGCTGAAAGCCTGTTGCTCCCCTTTTACACCGCCAACTCCTCGCCCGTTACACACGCACAGCGCTGTCTCATTTTATAGGGTTAGCTGGAAATCATGCTTGAGCCTGAAACTTTATAACTTTTCTCGTAATCAACAAAACTTGAGCTCATCTTTATTTTTAGCTGGCCGCACATACACCTGTGTGTGTGTGTGTGTGTGTGTTGGTGAGTGCGTGGAGGATCTACAGCCATTGACCCAAAAATAAGAACCCAAAACAAAAACAACATTTTTTGTTTCGGGAGTTTCAGGAGTTACGAACCTGGTCGCCGCCTACGTGAACCATTTGTGTAAACAATATTATTTATGACTATGTTTACTCTTCCTCCCTCCCTCTGCCTCCTTTATCTTGCTGTTCTTCTTCAGCTTGCTTCTTTTGTATTTTGTTTTCCATTTGTGGATACTTTGTCTATTGCAGGCTCTTCTAGGCTCACCCTGCCGCGCCTCTGTCCTTAACTTTACGCTTCGCTGCTTTCCTTGCTTGCCTTCTGCTGCTGCTGTTACATCTTCTTCTTCCACTGCTTCTGCTATGCGATCGCTTTGAATCTCGTTTGTCAATCTGGGTTGCTGCCTAGGGCGACGTCGACTGCGCCGGCAACTGCGACTGCGGTCAGCGACCTGACGTTCGATTGCACGTGTTGTAAATTAGTTGAGGATTCTACCATTTAGAGAGTTTTCCCTAGCCAGGAATATTGATTCTTTGTTTACTTTTTGTGCCAACTAAGGCTCAAATTTGTTTAGGCTGCACTCAAATGCCCAAATGTTACTCAGCTGGTTCTCTCTGTATTTAACAAAGATATTCGAAATAATTGAGATGTTTGTAACTAGCCTAGAAGATCTGTATAAGCTAAATAAAAATAATAAAACGATATTTCATATATTAGAATATAGAGTACAGTATAGAAAATTTAAGTTTTTTAACTTGACTTTCTATCTACATTTTCAATTCCTGTTACAAAAGTCTAGTGTAATATTATCTATAAGAACAAATACTTTTCACACGTACATCTGAGTTGGACAAAGAAACCAATAAGAAAGAATGAGAAACTCGAGAATACCACAAATAAAAGACACAAAGTTCAAGATAGATGAGAATATCCCAGCAAGACGAAGGGTTTCGTTGTTAGCTTTAGCCTGTGAGGATATTTTGTCTCTTCCCCCTCTCTCTCTCTCTGCTTCTCTATCAATCTTTGAGTTGAAAATTATATTGTAAAGATTTCTAAATTATCGACTTATGTGTGTGTGTCTAGTTTTTTTTTTTTTTTTTTTTTGGCAGGGGGAGGATCTGACTTATTGTGTGCTCACGACGTCAAGCAGCGCCTCAGTTGAAGCAGACGGCACCTGATTCAATACCAGCAGTAGAAGTTAAAGCAGAAGTGGAAGAAGAAGCTGAGCAACAGCAACAGATATTTCACACCTTGCGACCCGTTAGAGAGACAACACAAAAAAAGAACGAGGAGCCAACATGGGAATGACGGGGAAATATGGGGGTCGGACTAGCGACAAAGATCTTCTAGTTTTTGAGGATCTAATAACCGGTTGGACACCGGAGTCTGCGCCACGGACTGTGACTTGTGATTACTAAATTAGCACTCTCCTGATTGCTGTAACTGCCGGCCACACCAGCCCCCGCCCCAAAACCCACCTTGACATGTCTAATTGCTTGTAAAAAACAACACACAGAAAAGAGAAAGAGCTGAAAGAAGAAGTTAAGCTGTTTGTGGAAAGCCAACTGCACGATACACTGTATTGATACAGAGGGAGTAAAGTCAAGAGAAGTTGGCTTTACATTGGTTTTCGAAATTCCATGGTGATATCCAGCCTATATAGCACTTCAAATAACGATACACAGTGTATAAACCAGGCATGGGAATGCCTCTGAGGGAATCAAAAAAATCCTGTATTATATATTGTAGAAAAAAACTAATACACGTTATCTGCATACCGATTCTTAAGAAATATAGAAGTTTCTCTTGCATCTCAATTTAACAATAGAAAATTTGAACATTTTATGGATACACTTTAATAAAATGAACAATTGATATTCCCACCAATATGCCCTATTCAGAGTTGACAAACAGTGTATACAGCAGAGAAAGAAATTCCTTTTTAATTAGCAGTTGTTGCGCAGCCGCCAGGCCTTT